TAGCAAACCTTAGTCCACAGTACGCTGGTTGGGAAGTCTGTGAAGGAGTTTCTTCGCTGTCCAAAAGGAGGAGCCACTGAGTTAGCAGCTGGACAACTGAGATGGATAGAGTTGACAGGGATCTTCGGTGAGAAGCCATTCATAATTTCTTTTTCTTTTTCAGTGACCTTTCACAGATTTTTCAGCCATACACGGTGAGAGCTCGGAGGAACAGTACCACGATTATGAACCAACACAGCTTGGTAAGTATAGAAGTATCTTAAGTGGTTTGGGTAGGCGAAGCCCCTTAAAATAATTTCTTTCTTAAAGTTAGTGGCTGTGCATAATTGTCCCCAAACAGAAAATGTGGACCTGACCGCTCTTACTTTTGGTGCCAAAAGATGACCTGGTTACAAATGTGTCGTTATTTTTTGCTGTGGAACTGACTTGGTATTTTCTTTGAAACAATGTTCATTGTTTTTTCTTACTCCTTGCAGCATGATTGTAAGGTAAGATAGTATTAATGTGTCCTTTGTTGTTGTTGTTAAGTGCTGTCGAGTCCATTCTGACTCATAGCAACCCTGCATAGGGTTTCTGAGTAGCAGCTGGTGAGCTTGAACCGCCGACCTTGTGGTTCACACTGACTTTGCAGTCCAGTGCATTAACCCAGAGCGTCATACCAGGAGTCCTAGGATGCCACAAATCATGTCAACAATGCCAGGGTATTTATTTCTGACTCATCTACTGTACAATGCTGTTTTCCCAAAGTGAAGACTCCTTAAAATGCTTGCATTTCTCTTCTCTGAAGAGTGGCTGATTTGAACTATTCTATTAAGCCAGAGCTGCCTGGAAAACATTGTGAGATCATGATGAGGTTTTTACATAGTGGAGAGTCACGTATGTGGAGCTCACTTATCCCATAGTTTCAGTTGTTTGGAAGACATCAGAGATGTAAGCAGGACAGACCTCCAAAAGGCTAAACCAGATTTCAACATAATTCTGTGCACAAAGGGTCATCTGTTTGTACAAGAGCCTCTCTGACCTCAGAATCTTCACAATGGTCTGTATACTTCTAATAAGTTTGCCACCCAACCCAAGCAGCGAATCAGAAGACATGCATTTGGGTTAAGGAGCCCTGGTAGTGTAGCGGTTTACAAGCTGGGCAGCTAACCGCAAGGTTAGCAGTTCAAATCTGTGAGTCACTGTGTGGGAGAAAGACGAGGCTTTCTAGTTCCGTAAAGATTTACAGCCTGGCAAGCCTATACAGGGTCACTATGAGCCGGAACCGATTTGATGGCATACCCACCACCACCTTTAGGTTAAAGTGATAATAATAACTGAGAGCAAGGGAGGAAGAGGGAAAAACTGAAAACCAGAAGTTTGAAAATGATTTGTTTGGAGCAGCTTAGTGTAAAGAGGGAGACTGTGAATAGACCCCCGAGTCCATTCTGTTTCCTCGCAGTTCTGTGGGACAACGTGGAACTGCCCCATAGACTTTCTAAGGCTGAAACCATTATGGAAGCAGATTGCCACATCTTTCTCCCATGGAGCAACTGGTGGTTTGAACTGCCAACCTGTCAGATATCAGTGGCATTTAATCAGCACACTACCAGGACTGCTGCCACACTGGTATAAATCAGTACACCGGTATAAAACTGATGATCTTAATTAGACCTGGGTCAGTAAACGCCATCTGAAATCATAATGATATCTGCTCTTGGATAGCATTTTACATACAACAAGGGACTTTCATGCATTTGCTTTTCATAACATCTCCTTTGAATTAGGCAGGGCAAAAGATCTTTTTCCCATTTAAAAGCAGCAGCAGCTAAGACCCAGGTGACATAAGCGACTTGCTCAGTCACACAGTTAGTCAACTGCAGAGCAGATATTTGAATAGGGATTTTCAGTATCATCTTGGTTGTATGGTCCGACTCATAGCACCCCTGTAGAGGGGTTCTGAGGCTGTAAATCTTTATGGGAGCAAAAAGCCTCCTCGTTTCTCTCGTGGTGGGTTTGAACTGCCAGCCTTGCAGTTAGTAGTCCAGTGCTTATCCTAACAGCATCACCAGGGCTCCTGTTTGGGCTGCATATATGAAGAATGTTTCTAAGTATCACACAGCCATGTTCTGGTATCAGGAACTTCACAGAGAAGGGCAAGGGACATCTGTCTCAGTATACTTCACTTTCATCTATGAGATGTAAAGACTCTTTTTTTTTTTTTTTAACTTAAAAAATATATTTTTATTATATGTTTTGAAATTTATTTTCATTTTTTATAGTGAATTGGGTGAAGGTTTACAGAGCAGATCATCATCAATTTGACATTCACCAGTCCATACCCATTTTGTTTCATCTCATTGATTACAATGCCAGCAATGAAACAGCACGTATCTCAGACCTCCCCGGGTTTCCGGTTTCTATTCCTCCTTCTTTCCTAACCATTTTGAACTTTGTCCTTGGGTAAATGCTGCTCTTTTGGTTACCACTGGTTGATTATTCTAAGGTGAACATACCTCACTAATGGAGGTGTTCCTTTTATAGATCTATGTGTTGTTTGGCTGACAACTGAGCCATGGGGTGAGTTCATTTCCAGACCTGAAGGGTAGTCAAGGGTCATAGTTTCGAAGTTCCCCCAGTCTATCTGATTGGTAAGCATGGTCCTTTTCCTTATGATTGTGAATTTTGTTCTGTATTTTCTCCCACTCTATCTAGGACCTTCTAATGGTCATGGTAGTTGGGCACCATCTCCTTCTTGCCTCAGGAGTGTGAAGACCAGTGCTCATGTGATCCATTAGTCCACTGGACTAATTGAGTCTGTGAGTCTTCGATCTTCATCAGTCTTCTTTTCTCTGGACACAGAGAGACCAATAGTTGCGCCTTAGATAGCTGTTAAGACTTCAGTTGCTAGGCGATGTGAAGATCCTTATTAGCTCAAGTCCAGGCTCCTTGCTCATTACTCCCTTACAAATCCTCTGCTCTGGCTGTCCTAAAATACCCAGTTTTCTGCAGGGCCATGTGATTTTCCTGCTGTTTAAGAACCATTAGGCTCCCCTTCACCCCTTCCCTTCCCTGTTGTAGCTTTCTGAGCCTTCAAAATGTAGTCTCATCCTTTTATGCCTTCGAGAAGCCTTCCGCAGTACCTTTTGAGCACTATCTTTCCTTTATATAGGGATCCTTAGATGGTGCAAATGATTAAGCACTTGACTACTGCCCAAACATTTGTAAGGATGGCGCAGTATCAGGCAGTGCTTCATTCTGGTGGGGATAAGGTTGCTATTGAGTCAGAACCCACTTGATGGCACCTAACAACAAGAATACTATTTGAAAGGTTGGTGGTTTCAACCCACCCAGATATACCTCAGAAGGAAGCCTTGGTGAACTGCTTCCGAAAGGTCACAGTCTTGAAAACCACTGTGGAGCAGCTCTATTCTGCACCCATGGGGTCATCGTGTGTCAGAATTGACTCACAGGCCACTGACAAAAAACGATCATTTGTATTGAAATACAAAGAGAAATCTGGATGCGCTTATCAGTATCCCAGAGTTATCTGCAAAAAATTAAATGGAGGCAGATTCTAAAGACAGAGATTTGACAGTGGATTCAATGTCAGGACAGGGAGAAGGACTCCAACGGACTGAAATGCTTTGTTTTTCTTTGTATTGTAGACTGGGTGAGGGTTGACAGAGCAGAGCAGGTCCTTGGTTTTCCTGTCAGTGTTCAACAATCCATCCACTTCTTGTTTCATCTCATTGATGGCTATCCCTGCCCTGGAACATCACTTATCTCACTTCCTCCTGGGGCTTTCCTGTTTCCACTCCTTCTTTCCCAACCCCTTTGAACTGTATCCTTGGGTAAGTGGTGCCCTGTCTATCTCGAACCGTTGACCATTCTATGGTGTGCGTCTCATCTCTCACTAGTGTTTTTGTTCCCCTTAGAAACCTGACTGGAAATGCTATTTCTTGGTGCTCAGGGGGGAATGTTGTTGCCTTCACTGGAAGTGGAAATCACGAAAAATTGGCCGTTTGAAAGGGAAGAAAATGCATTCTTTCAGGGCATGTTGTCCAGAGCAATATCAAAATCTTGTTTTTAAACCTCAAACGTCTTATCTCCCTCCGTTTCCTTTCACCAGATGACTCCTGCTTCTCCCTCCATAGCGAAGGCAGGCACCTAGCTTGTGTGTACTTTACTGTCTTCTCCTGTCATTCATGCTGCTTTGCTCCTAAAGACACTGGCTATATTCTGACTCCCCTGTTACTTGGCTCCACCTCTCAGCTCTCTACCTTGTGTCTTCAGTCTCCTCTTTGCTGCCTCTGGTTCCTCCCACCTTCTTTTCCTAGCATATCTATCTAACGTTCCAAAATAACCTATTTTCTTGCTGTAGGTCTCGCATTTCCTTGGGTCCCATCCCCTCTGGGAGCTTTTCGAAAGCATCCGCCACTAACTCCTTGTCTCTCAGTTTCTTACCAATTCCACCAACTCTCCACCCCTTTGTAATCTTGCTACTCCTACCGCACCTCAACTCCAAGACTGTTCATGCAAAAGTCCCCAATGGCTACCTGATTGCGGGTGTTTAGAGGCCTGATTTCGGGGCTCACTTGTGCTCTTTGTTCTTTGGTGGGTTTTCAGCCTGCCTATCACTCTCTTGCTCCTTTGTGGCTCTGGCCTTCTTTGGTTGGCTTTTGTGTCGTTTCTAAAATTGCCAAGTTGAAAATCAGCTAGATAGAGAATAGGCATTTCTGAGTTTTCTCTGTCACCAGTTGTTGACAATCCTTACTTTGGCTCTCCTATGCCTTTTGGGTTCCTTCCGTTCTCTGTCAGTCTGACATCCTCATGCCTTTCTTCCCCATCCTCCTGTTAAAGTGCTTTCTCTGCTTTGTCTACTTGCTTTATAGCTTAGCGTTTGCCAAATGGCCTTATTAGCAGTTTATCGGTAGACACATATTGCTTTCACAATGGGAAAAAACAACCTTTTGTTTAAACAAGGATTTTACTGGTCGTTTCCCTTTTCAAAGCTGAGGAGGAACAGAAAAAGTAAAAGGCGTGGGTAATGCAGGGATGCCTTTGGAGGTAAGATCCTGTTTGAATGATGACTTCAAACATTTTTTACCTGAATTAGATTTGACCTAAAAAGTGGATAGCATTTTGCTAACCTTTTTCTACTACTGTTTACATTTGTATGCCAAAAGTGCTCATCGAGGTCACTTCGACAAATTCATGCAAAGATTCTATTGTCTTTCAGTTCCATTTTTCCATTACCTTTTGAAGCCCCCTCATAGTGACTTGTGACAGGAGAGTTATCTTAACTAGGTTTATGGTTTTCAAACTCATTTGTATCTCATTAGGGGATAAATAGTAGATGTTTGCATTCTGGCTACTAGAACCCTATAATATCCATTGGCAAGGAGCGCTGGTGGCGTAGTGGGTTACACACTGGGCTGCTAACTGTAAGGTCAGCAGTTTGAGCCCATCAGCCGCTCCATGGGAGAAAGATGAGGCTTTCTGCTTCTGTAAAGATTTACAGCCTTGGAAATCCTATACAAGGTTGCTAGGAGTCAAGATAGACTCAATGGCGCACATAACAACAAGATTTGTTGGTAGGAAGTATACCTAACATTTTTGTTCCGATTGAGTTTCTTTTGAAGGGCTATAATTTGAACATTTCTCCTCAAAGTATTTGGTCTTTACACTGATTGTCTTTTTCATCAGTAAGGTTCCTAGTGACAGTCTTTCTTCTTCCTAACTGTTGTTGAGTCCTTTCCCACTCATAGTGATCCTGTATAGGTTTGCCAAGGAGCAGCTGGTGGATTTGAACACAGATGTGTGCTTAGCTGTCCAGTGCTCATCCGACAGCGCCACGCCAGGATTCTTGAGTGCTAAGCTTTGTGAATGGCTTTAGATGAAGCGAAAATCTCTTTCTTGCAATTGTAAGGTGTTTGAGGGAAATATTAATCCTAGACAGATCATTACACTGCGTTTATTAGCCTATCTTTCCCCATTGGTGCACTGACAATAAAAATGAATGAAAATTAGTGGTTTTTTTACTTTCCTTTCTTTGATTAAAAAAACAAACCCACTGCTGTCAAGTTTGATCTCAATTCAGACCAGAGCAGAACTGCTCATTATGAGACTGTAAATCTCTATGCAGCATAGTGACTAGTGGGTTTGAACCCCTGACCTTGTGGTTAGTGGGCCACTGCTTAGTCCAATGTAACACTAGGGCCCCTTCCTCTTCTTATATATAACTCCTTATTTGAGATAAGTGGAGTACAGGCTATTTCCAAATCCAGGAGTCATTCCATTGAAATGTACACGGTTCTACATTCATTTGGGAAAATTGCTGGAGTCAGCGTTTGTCTTGTGCCTGATGGTACTTTGAGGTTGGGCACCTGCTGTTCTTTCTAAAGAGAGACTGTGTTGCCTCGAGCACATTCCTTAGTGCCCAGTGATTTAAGGAGCTGCGTTTCTGAGAAGAACGTGAGAAAATATCTGGGACTGGATTGCACACCAGCATGGACAGTGGCCTCTTGCTTTGTGACGCATGCTATAGTAAATGTCTACTTTTGTTTTCCAGTTGCCGTCCTCTTCATCTCACCGTATTCCTAGTAGCAGACTGCATCAAATCAAGAGGGTAACTTTTTTTCCTTTCTAGCCCAGATCACAACGGTCTCTGGAGTTTGCATTTTCATGGCTTTTCACTGAGAAGATGGAGCAATGAAAAACCAAGCCAGGTTGCCACTCTGGCTAGTTGTCGACAGATTACCCTTCTTCTTGGTTGGCCGATAAAATCCAGACGTGGTATGGGTGGCAAGCATAGAATATTAGTTTGCGGTCTTGTGTTACGTGAAATGAAGTAGAAAACCCTTTCCCATCTTATTTTCAATCCAGAAAGCTGTGGGGAAGTAGTAGGTTTTTAGCACGTGTTTTCTTTGCAGGAAGAAGGGGTGGATATGATGAACCGAGAGACTGCGCATGAAAGGTCAGTACTTCACGAGAGCAAAACCAAGAACAGCCTGTGTCTTGCGAGTTAGCACTGAGAGTGTTTCATTCTGTTTGTTTTAGGGGAGTACAGACAGCAATGCAGATAAGCCAGTCATGGGATGAGAGCCTGAGCCTGGTAATGTCATGCCATGCCTGCCTGCTTTTTTAGTTCCTGCAAACGTGTGCCTTGTTCATTGGCATCCTTCCTTTTTCCGTGCTCCCAAGTGTGTGTCCCTTTTGTGTCTCTGCTCTATCGGCAGAAGAGTAGAGTGCCACTTTGGAGTCTGTACATTTCTGAGCTCAGAATGCAGGTGTGTGACAGAGCTGCCGAGTAAGAGTTGTGATGTGCCAAATTGTTAAGAATTGTAAACTCTTTGTTTCCAGAGTGATAATGACTTCGACAAGCCAGAGAAATTATATTCTCCTAAGAGAATTGATTTCACTCCAGTTTCTCCAGCTCCCTCCCCCACCAGAGGATTTGGAAAGGTAGGCCCATGGACAAGACACTATCCCTAGTTCATACACTGAGCTGCTGCCTGTGGAAAACACATCCACGCACAGCATCTCGCTTGAAAGGACTTCAAT